TCCTTTCGCGTGCTGCTTTAAGAGCTTGCTCGTGGGCTAGGGATCCAAACGCTTAAGTGTCCAGCTGCTCTGCAGTTCCTCCTGCAGCACTTTTCGTCCTTAACAATCCCCTCCCAGTCAGCTGCGCCAGGTTTCCTTGCTTTGTTCATTTCTCTTCTGGTTTTGTTTTCTGTTTTTTGTATTTGACTTGACGAGAGTAGTGTTAGGATTTGCAATAACTCAGAAATGCTTTTGTCTCATCAGTTACATTTTCTCTCTTACCATAGGCAAGTCCCTCTAAAGATTCTTCAAAAAAGGTATGTCACTGGTTTTTATTCTTTTCTTAACGGTGAACTACAGCTAGAAATATACGTCGAATTAACTGAGGAGTTTTCAGAAAGGTTGGAAGGCTGGCAATTATTTAACATCCACTTCATCTCAGAAATTCTTCCGTTCTTTAAGAAATGAACGAAAAGATGACATAACGTGCAGAAACACTGATTTGTACGTTTGTTTACGGAAGATTGGGAAACAGGCGGGTCCACAGAAAATTCGATGCGCGTGAAATATATTCGTTAGAGGCGATTTTTCGCGCGCCAATTCTATCGCTCGTTCTACTGCCTTAGAGCAAGATCTCCTAAGTCTCCGCTCGCTTTATTGGTCAGGAGGCGATTTTCATTTCCGTTTGTTTCGTGGCTGTTTTAGATTAAAAGAGGGCATCATAGTGGAAGTGAGAAACAGTCGGTAAGTGATAAGTAGCATTAGGTTGAACTGGCTCCATAATACAGACTGGCTGCTTTTAAAAAAACAAATACTAAATTAATTTATTCTTGACCAGATTTTATGCTTTTCGAAAGACCAGAAGAGTAGACAAGAGTGCAAAAGGATTGTTTTTTAATCGACACGAGCGTATCTCACGTGCAATTTCATGATGTGAATGTTGCATAGCCTCGTATACATACTTTTTAAGAGGCTCGCAACCTCGTACCCAGGATCGTATTGTCCACTCTCCCTCCAGGAGACGGAAAAAAGAGAGACACTGGGAACGAGGTTGATAGGATCGTTACCTGACGATCTAAAAGGACATGCGCGTGACGCTACATGCATAATAAGACCTTTTTCTTAAAGTTCTCATGGATATGTGTATAATTACAGCTACTTGTTAAAATCCTCGCAAGTAAGACTGAATTACAAAAAGATTTGCTCGTACTAGTCTCTTTTACGTGGAAACGAGCCTCGATAAAAGCGTTCTGATTGAAATCTTGAATTTGTACGTCGCATTTCAGGAAAACGATGTTAGAGATTTCTGACTTATAATAGTGTCGAGCAGTCTTGTAAATGTCACTTATTTTGGTTATACTACTGTGAGACCTACGTCTGATCATCTCTTAACGCAGAGAGGTTTGTGAACCTTTCTTCAAGACTTGAATCACCAATCGTCAAGTTAAAAGACAAATGGACTGACCGAACCATTACATAGTCCACGTCCGATTAAAAGAATTCAACAACGCAACATGACGCGCAATTGCAGCTTGTGGGGTAGTTCCCAGTGTAAATTAAATGCGTTGATAAACCATTTCCGAAATGCCTCGATCCTTTGTTTGAAAACGAAGATAAGTGCGAAGTTTCTGTTGTAAAATACTTTATTTTCATGCGAATAAACTCGTTTTTGTATCTACGGTTTTGCTCTTTTGAATTGAGGAATTTTGGATTTTGCACTCGGAAATAGCCGATTGCTGTTTCTCAGCCCGCGTTGATGGTGGTTTCGTTTGAGCGAGGTAAAGAAGGAAGCTTCATTGGCGTCGACGCCACGAAAACAAGGGGTGAAATCGGGAGAAGAATAATGAAAAAAAGGAAAAACTTTCCCCCTCTTCATATCTCTCATGGCTATGTTCGCTAGCTGTTAAGTCAGTTAGCGAGGTCGGCGCTGTCGATTTTGAGGCCACTGAAATGCGACGTATAATCCAGGCTCCATTTGATCGTCGTGCTTTGAGTCATCAAGTCACTCTCTGTGGTTTAAGTTTTGAGTCAGAGAGTGACTATGGCACGTGTTAAGTTTTATTTGTCATGTTTCACTTATCCATGTCATTCCCTACGCTGCATTCACTTTTCCGGTGGCTGTTCGGCTTCCACGAGAAGAGGGACTGTACGTTTATAGACGGCCTGAATAGCAAAGTCAACTAAAAACTCATCTCCAAACTCATTTTCCTAATCGACAGGATGACTGTGCTGCTAAACTTTCGCCTCAGAAAACTCTCGGGACAGCACCGCTAAGTATGTGATACAGTAGTCAGATTTTCTGTGTAGTGATTGTTGTGACTGCACTAAGTGACAAATTTGGAACTCAAGTTCGGCCATTTCTGGGATTATGTGCCCAGCCGAGCCACCATAATGGCTACCTCTTCTCAGCGGCCGTACATCACCATAAGCATATTTTGTTCGACACTCCGCAGAGGCTCCAGTCATTCAGCCAGAAAAAAGAATAATAAGCGAGATCGAATATTCAAAGCAGGCGCGCGCGCGCCGGCGCGGACCGCGGAGAGCGAATTCGCTACTTTGCTTTAGAAACGAGAAGGAAACTGGGCCAAGTTAACTTTCGCAAAGACTTCTGGGACTGTTACTTGGGACAGAGAAAAATTTGACTAATAGCTGACCGGGGCGTCCCCAGTAACCATCCCAGAAACATTTGCGGGACATATTTCAGCTCCAGTTCCCTTCTCGTTTCTAAAGTGGCGAATGGAAATGAGAGTCTGGAAACCTCTCCTCCCAGCGTTCCTTTCGCTAGCAGTAAAGGGGCCTCTGCGAAGGAGAGGGCTATTTGCACTTCACCAAGCACTAGATCAGTTGCTTTGACACGGGCTATTCTTAACCCCTTCACTGCAAGTTTTTCCTGCCACGGTAGTCCACTCAAAAACATCGCACAACTAGTGTTCAGCGGTCAGAGTGGTTACGGTAAAGGAATTCGTTTACAGACTTTCGATTTGGATTTCAAGTCGTGTGGTTGAAATGGTCAACTTGATGACTGAAAAGCCGTCATAAGGTAATCGTAGCGTAGCCTTCAAGGCAGGTCACATTCTCGAGCGAATCCTTCATAAAGAGAATGAATGTCTATGCGTAAGGGACTGGAGCAATAGTACGTACAAAGAGCGTGGTCACTTATTGCAACCAGTCGAAAGTCAGCATTTTGCATACCCCAGATCTACGAAGTCTTATCTGCAAACTCGACTAGTTTTTTACCGTCTTATGAACATTTTTCTAACAGCTGAAGTTGTTCTGTTTCCTCCCCTGACCCCGTTGTCCGAAACGGCTTGGAATGAACGGTTTCGAACATTTCCACGCGTGTACTCTTGGCCCTGCGATAGCCACAGTGCTTTCAATCCTAATACCGACCGAGACCGACATTCAAGAAAAAACGTAGACGAGAAAGGACCAGTTACATCTAAGAGCTTAAGAGCTCTTAGGAGCAGTTACAGCTAAGAACTGAAGAGCTTAAGTGTGAATGGTTACACTTGAGATTGTTATTTATGAAAGCGGTTTCACGGTGGCAGTGAAGGGGTTCCCACTCATAAGCTCATTGTGAAAAACACGTATAACCATTTAAAATAGTAACATTAATAATGTAGACAACGACAGAACAGTGCTAATTATAATGGTAATGATGGCAATTGTGATAGTGATAACACTTATAATAATAATAATAATAATAATAATAATAATAATAATAATAATAATAATAATAATAATAATAATAATAATAATAA